GCGCAGCTATCACAGAAGCCAGAACAGCAAGAGGGATTGCTGCTTTCACTGCGCAGCGATCCCTCTTGCTGTTCTATCTTCTGAGATTCAGAATAATTTTTTTTCTTGTTTTCCTCCTCCAAAAACTAGGTGTCTCTTGTGGTGCGGTGCATCTTATAGAGCGAAAAATTTTATCACAGAAAACTGGGAAAACTTATTGACTCGCGTATAAGCTGGTTCACCACACCACAAACCTCCTGGTGGGCTGGAGTGCGTGTGTGTGCGCACACATGCTCACACGGCAGAGGGGGCTTCTCTTTCCCCCACAGCCCCTCCCATCCCCCTGCCTACCTGTCGAGAAGCTGGTAGTGGCAGCGGCGGAGGAAGAACAAGCGACCCAAAAGGGCTGTTTTTGGGCTGCTCATTCCTCCGCCGCCAACAGTGGCAAAGGTGGCAGAGGAGGAAGGAGCAGCCCGAAAGGGACCCTCACTCACTATAAGACAAGGGGGGCTTTTTCAGCACAAAAAATGTGTTGAAAAGGTTGGCTTATACACGAATAGACATGGTATATTATAATAGCAGCATAGGCCTCAGATCTGCCATTTGGCATGACAGTTACTGCTTTGGTGGGGGGGCACTTCTGCTGTTATTATTAGCATTATTAGATTTCTTACTCAACCTTTACCATAAGGTCCTAGGGTGGCTTAGAACAATAAAATAGACATAGCATAGATAGCCCAGGAAGCATGAAAGCCTTTATGTTGTTGTTTAGTCTAGTCGTGTCCGACTCTTCGTGACCCCCTGGACCAGAGCACGCCAGGCACTCCTGTCTTCCACTGCCTCCCGCAGTTTGGTCAGACTCATGTTTGTAGCTTCGAGAACACTGTCCAAGCATCTCGTCCTTTGTCGTCCCCTTCTCCTTGTGCCCTCCATCTTTCCCAACATCAGGGTCTTTTCCAGGGAGTCTTCTCTTCTCATGAGGTGGCCAAAGTACTGGAGCCTCAGCTTCAGGATCTGTCCTTCAAGTGAGCACTCAGGGCTAATTTCCTTAAGAATTGATGTGTTTGATCTTCTTGCAGTCCATGGGACTCTCAAGAGTCTCCTCCAGCACCATAATTCAAAAGCATCCATTCTTTGGCGATCAGCCTTCTTTATGGTCCAGCTCTCACATGAATGCTGTGCCAAGCTCCATCCAACAGTTTCACAGAACTCCTCCTCACCTCCTGGCCCCTCAAAAGAGGTCATCATTTTTCGAAAACTTTTTGGTGACATTTTCAGGGGTGGTTTATGGGCGTTTGGAACTTCACTTTAATAATCAGTGGTCATGGGGTGGCTAAGGGGCGTTCTTCCTTTTTCACTTTGAAAAACAACAACCTTGCATTGCTTTCTGGCATATCTGCAAGACACCTCTCCAGCTGGCACCCTTCCTGGAATGTCCCTGGGATGTCAAAACGTCCTTCCATGGTCATGGGATATTTGGGGAACAAACACCACCCTTGATTGCCTAGGACTTAATTAACTGAAAGCAGCCTTGGAAACTTGCATTGCATCAACAGCTATTTACCTCTTTCAACACCGATTGCGTGCTTTGGCGTTTTCCGACTTCTGTCTCTGCTTCCCCCTTCCCACCCCTCCCCCCACCACACAGCATTCCAGTCTGTGGACCCAGAGGACAGCCAAATGACAGCTCCTGCTCAGCCAACCCACCAGACGTATGCCTTCCAGACGGAAATTAAAAGGTACAGATTTCCATTGGCTCACTGCTCCTTAGTAACCACTTAGTCGGATTCCTCCAAGTTCTATATGTGGAGAAATTTAGCCTGCTAAGCAAGCTTTTTAAGAAAGGAAAATGGTGCTCTTGCCAGGCATGGTCCCCTCAGTGCGTATAGGTGTCGCTGAGGAATAATGTGGCCTTAAGAACTGCCCCTCTTTGCTCTCTAAAAGACCCCCCCTGCAGCAGCACCAAATCCCACCCCAGTTGTGGTTAAGGGCCTGAGGGACGCGGGTGGCGCTGTGGGTTAAACCACAGAGCCTAGGACTTGCCGATCAGAAGCTCAGCGGTTCGAATCCCCGCGACGGGGTGAGCTCCCTGTTGCTCGTTCCCTGCTCCTGCCAACCTAGCAGTTTGAAAGCACGTTTCCGTGCGCTGCTCTGGTTTGCCAGAAGCGGCTTAGTCATGCTGGCCACATGACCCGGAAGCTGTACGCCGGCTCCCTCGGCCAATAAAGCGAGATGAGTGCCGTAACCCCAGAGTCGGTCACGACTGGACCTAATGGTCAGGGGTCCCTTTACCTTTATAGGCCAGAAAGGCTGGTAATAAATTAAGCAAATAAGGGGATTTGCATTTTCCCCTATGTACAATGGTAATAGCTTGCCTGGATATGCAATACTGCATATGTATCTGGACTGCTGATAGAGGGGAATGCAGACTGAGAAGGCGTCAGAGCTGGAGAGGGGAAGAAATAGCCATAAAACCTTCCACACCTCTTTTTTTTTTTAAGGGGGAGGGTAGAAGATAAGTCTGAGCTTGTGGTGTCAGACATTCCTAGGGTGTATTTGCCTGGTTTTTATCAGTAGGAAAGTGTGGTTGACACAACTCATTGGCGACAACAGAAATTATGCAGCGAAATCAAAGATTCAACTTAGATGCAGTGTGGGTTAGAGGGTAGAGTTTTTGTTGCTTGCAATTTCCTTCAATGAAGGCCAGGTGAGTGACAGAGGGAAAGAATGCAGAGTCCCTTGCAGGGGACTCTGTACCACATGATAATCAGCATCACATGACACCACAAACAATATTTCCCGAGAAGGCTGCTGGGTCAGTTGCTCACTGTGCTGAAGGCAAGAGTTTGTGGCGACTACTGTGAGTCCTTTTTAGTGGTCCTGCAGTAGCAGCTCTTCCCCTTCGCCACTCCTAAGCATGGTTCGGTGCCATCCAGTAGGACAGTCTTCTCAAAGCATGGCAGAACGTGGGTGGGTGGGGTATCACCAGGTTAAGGAATAACATTCAGCTCAAACTTCTGTTCTGTTCCTTCCCCTTCTTTGCTGCTCCACCTCGGGACAGAGGGCGCTTCAGCATCATCAAACAGTGCAGAGAAAAGCTCAGCGGAAATGCTTTGGCTGCCAAGATCATTCCCTATAGGCAAGAGGACAAGGAAGATGTGCTCCAGGAGTATCATATCCTCAGGAAGCTTCACCACACCAACATTGGGCAGCTGCAGGGGGCCTACGTGAGCCCACGCCACCTGGTGCTGATCACAGAACTTTGTGTTGGCCCTGAGCTTCTCAATGCTTTAGCTGGAAGGTAAGCCTGCTTGTCCAACAAACTAAATACGCATCAGCCACAAAAGCTGTGGAGGCCTCTTTTCTCCTCCTCCTCCTCAGGATACAGTTTTCAGAGGTTCCGTTGTAAAATTTCCATAGGCAACCCAGTGTGAAGGTGCCAGATGAATAAGACCAGTATAGACCAGTAGTCTTTGATATTTTCCAAAGCAGGACCCACCTTTAAAACATGAGGAAGTGGTAGTCACAGAAGTGGAGGGGTCTCCTGTTGCAATAACCCCTGGCTTTGGCTGGAAAACTACTTCCTTATTTTGCATTACTTAAGTATAGTGTTGTTGTTTTTTACAAGATTGGTTACCAAAACCTGAAACCTGAAAATCCCCAGAAATCTGGCAGATTATATACATCTCTCTCTGTGTGTGTGTGTGTCTACACTACATGTGCATATTTATGCATTATACACAGAGAGACACACACAGTAAGAAAGGTCTGAGAAATGTAGTTTTTAAAATAATCTCTGCCTTTTCTTTAGTGATATGCTCACACTAACACCCATCCAACACTATCTAGCAAAAATGCCCTTTGAGTTTGCTTTCAGTAAGTATTTGTGTGAATCTCTTGCTTAGCACCAACTGATTATAATCTTATGGAGAATGAAGAACGTGTTGTTGTGTAACCAGGTTCTCTTTTGTAGGTCATCCTATTCAGAGGTGGAAGTCAGAGACTATCTGTGGCAGATTCTTAGTGCTGTTGAATACCTCCATGCTCAGAATATCCTGCACTTGGATCTGAGGTCTGAAAATATGATCATCACAGAACCAAACCTGCTCAAACTCCTGGACTTTGGCAACGCACAGTTCTATGAACCCGACAGAATCATTACCCTCGATGGGTGCACGGACTACGTAGAAACTATGGGTGAGTAATCAGTGATTTGTTAGGTGCCTTTTCTTGGATCAAGGGTCTGAAAGGCCTGGTGATCACGGGGACAAATGAAAATGTCATGTCTTGAGTTGGACAGTTGGGCCATGTAACCTAGTCTACTCTGTTTGGCTGTGGCACTCTAAAGCTTCAGATGGGGTTTCTTCAAAGTCCTGCTACCTAAGATTCTTTGACTAGAAAAGCAAGGGTTTTGAGCTGGGTCTTTCCACTTGCAGAGTTCGTGTTCCACCATGGCTCGGTCTTCCCCCAACTCAGAGCAAGATTACAGAGCCACTTATCGAAACTATTGTGTTGTCAGTTGTAGCCCCACATCGTAAATAGTTTAACTTCGCTCAATGACCCTTAGCTCTAAGTATTGCACTTAGCTCAATGACCCTAGCTCCAGTTCAGCCAGTTAGTCATTATTATGGAAGTGAGAGCTGGACCAAAAAGAAGGCTGATCACCGAAGAATTGATGCTTTTGAATTCTGGTGCTGGAGGAGACCCTTGAGAGTCCCATGGACTGCAAGAAGATCAAACCTATCCATTCTGAAGGAAATCATCCCTGAGGGCTCACTGGAAGGACAGATCCTGAAGCTGAGGCTCCAAGACTTTGGCCACCTCATGAGAAGAGAAGACTCCCTGGAAAAGACCCTGATGTTGGGAAAGATGGAGGGCACAAGAAGAAGGGGATGACAGAGGACAAGATGGTTGGACAGCGTTCACGAAGCTACAAACATGAGTCTGACCAAACTGCGGGAAGCAGTGGAAGACAGGAGTGCCTGGCGTGCTCTGGTCCATGGGGTCACGAAGAGTCGGACACGACTAAACGACTAAACAACAACAACTTAGATGGAATTTGCTGTCCTCACATTCTCTGTGGCAAAAGCCAGGGTTGTGGAGCCAGAAAGTCAAGACTGCTGCCCTTAAGAGGCAGGAGACACTTGCAGTGAGTGACAGCAACTCCACTCCTTGGGAGCAGGACGAAGAGCAGAGAGAAGGGAGAAGGAAAGACCATATGTTTCTATACAGTGCACAGTGGCTGTTTATAGTTTTGGAGGAGGGAGCGTGTGCAATACATCAGCTTTTGTTTTGGTTTGCATATTGCTTCAGGTGGTGTGAATTAAGTAACTTTACCTCCCCTTCCCACAACTGCATCACTAACCCCTCACTTCCTTATCCTCCTTTGCCCTGAAATTCTTGTCCTATATTTGATTTCCCCCTCCCTCTTTGGTCATCCACATTCTCCCTCTCCTCCCCTTCCTCATTTTATTGCCTCCCTTCTTTTCTTCATAAGTTAGATCTATTAATATAAATCTGTGTTTATGTTGCTTTAAAGCAAAAGATAGGTACTTTAAAGCTGAGTACTGTACTTCCAATTTATAGGGCTTTTTATTAAAAATAAATAAATTAACTACAATAGGGATTAAAAAGACATACTTCCATCCATTCCAAATCCCAGTTTGTTAATTATCTTAATGGTTTTCTTTGCATAAGGTACACTGGATATTATTTTAGTGCAAATAAATTAACCGTAGCAAGGGTTAACTTTTGCTTGCTCTGCTTCCTGGCTCCACCTAGATTCATGATAAGTGGAGCAACTTTTTAAAACCACTTGTTTTTTCTGCAAGAGCTTGTGCTTGTGCTTTTGTGTCACAGAGCTCCGAGAGATGGCTTTCTGGGTGATGGTCCTATGCGCCGTCCTGGCATGCATATTGGGGGGGCTTTATTTGTTGGGGGCGTTCCGCCAGAGGGGAGCCCAAGAGCCCCCTTTAGATAAAGGCCTTATTCCGTGGCTTGGATATGGATTGCACTTCCAAAAGGACGGCGTTGCCTTCTTGCAAAGGATGCAGAAGAAGCATGGGGATATCTTTACGGTACTGCTTGGGGGATACTATTTCACCTTTGTGATGGACCCCCTCTCCTATGGAGCTATTCTGAAGGAAGCAAGAACCAAGCTAGATTTCACTTTATATGTAACCCAAATTGTGGAGCAAGCGTTTGGGTTTCAGCATTCAGAAATGACTCATAAGGTACTAGAGGCAGTCAACACAAAGCACCTCAGGGGCGATGGGCTCGTGGTGATGACCCAGGCCATGATGGAGAGCTTGCATAGAGTGATGCGCCATAGCCTGAGTTCAGCAGGAGGGGAGAAGTCCTGGAAACAGGATGGATTGTTCCACTTCAGCTACAACATGCTCTTTAAGGCCGGATATCTTGCTGTGTTTGGAAATACAACCAGCAAAGGTGAAAAGAACAAAGAAGATGCTGAGAGGAGTGACCTAGCTGACTCTGAAGATTTATTCGCAGAGTTTTGCAAATTTGATAATTTTTTCCCGGGATTAGCATCTTCCATGCTGTCTCCCAGAGATAAAATGGAAGCAGAGTCTCTGAAGAGACACTTCTGGAACATCACGTCTGTAAAGGAAGTATATAAGAAGGAAAATATCAGTGGCTGGATAACTGACCTGCAAAAACATCTGGATGAGGCTGGGATGCCTGAATACATGCAGGGGCGGCTTTTTTTCACGTTGCTCTGGGCACTTCAAGCTAATTCTGGACCAGCTTCCTTCTGGCTTCTTGCCTACCTGATGAAAAATCCCAAGGCGATGGATGAGGTGAGGAAAGAGGTGGACAGAGTGGTGGAAGAATCTGGCCAGGAAGTGAGGGCAGGGGGTCCAGTGCTTAATATCACCAAGGAGATGTTAGACAAGACCCCCATCTTGGACAGTGCTGTGCGAGAGACTTTGAGACTGGCCACAACACCACTGGTGATCAGGGTTGTGATGGTGGATCTAGAAATCCAGATGAACGATGGGAGAAAATATCTTCTGCGCAAAGGAGACAGAGTTGCCCTTTTCCCCTTTGTAGCAGCACATATGGATCCAGAAATCCACCCAGATCCCCATGTTTTCAAATATGACCGGTTCCTCAGCCTAGACGGCACAAAAAAGAAATTCTATAAGAATGGGGAAAAGGTGAAATATTTCTCCATGCCTTGGGGTGCAGGGGCCATGTGCCCTGGGCGTTTCTTTGCTACCAATGAGCTAAAACTCATTGCCTTCCTGATGCTGACATACTTTGATATGCAGCTGGTTAACGTGGAGGAGGAAATCCCTCCCGTAAACAAGAACCGCTGTGGGTTTGGTGTGATGCAGCCCACACACGATGTTCAGTTCAGGTACCGACTTCGCCACTGAAGGTAGGAGGCACAGGAAGCCACCTGGTATCATGTGCCTGTGAATCTTCATGCTAAATTGAGTTTTTAAAAAATCAATCGTATGTTTCTATTTTTTTTAAAGAAACCTTCCGTTTCTTTACACTTCCAACACTTATTATTAGGCAAATGATAGATTTTTGCAAGCTTGACTGGTGTCATGTACCACCTGTATATCATTTTCATAATATTCTCTCTTAAAGCATTACATGCTGTAAACTTCATACCTGTGGTCCATAACTGTTCCCAGTCAGCCATCATAATGTTATGTCCAACATCCTGTGCCCATTTAATCATAACAGATTTCACTGTTTCATCCTGAGTATTCCATTTCAACAGCAAGTTATACATCCTTGACAAAGTCTTAGTTTTGGAATCTAACAATTCTGTTTCCAATTTTGATTTTTCCACCTGGAATCCATTTTTTTGTCCAAATTATATGCCTCCGTTATTTGATAATAATGAAGCCAATCTCGCACTTTATTTTTTAGTTTTTCATAACTTTGCAATAAATAAATCGTATGTTTCTATTTGTGGGTCAAAACTTGTAGAAGAATGTGCTCTTTGCCCAATAAGTTTGGTAGATGCAAGTATCACTCAATAGTGCATCTTATCTATCCATCTGTCATGAATGCTTTAGTTGAGATTCCTGTATTGCTGGGGGTTGGACTAGATGACCCTCGGGCTCCCTTCTGACCCTACCATTCTATGATTCTATTATCTCACCCCTTTTTGTACCATTGTTAAGAAATAAAGTGGAGACAGATGGCCTTTCAACTTTTGAGGGCTCTTTTTGTGGAATATTTGATGTGCATTAGATCAGAATATTGGTCCTCTCTTTCCTGTAAGATGGTTGCCACAAACTCTCTCCCTGTCTGACGTGTTATAAATGTTGTCTCTCTAAGGCATAAAACTCATGCTTGTTACCAGGGTTCACTGCCCTGCAGCTGGTCACATTTGCACCACATACCCTTGCCTATATCTGATATGTTGTAATCTACATTCTGTAAAAAGAATGTCATGTCCAGTCCGGTTTGTGAACATTTCATAATCATTTGCAATTCTCCTGGCTTTCTTGCGAAAGATGTTTATTCAATACATTTTGGTATTTTCAGTTTTGTTACTGTTGATCAATGCCCATCAACAAGTATCCATTTTCATGTCTCCGGGGATATTGCCATTTGTTTGTCTTGTGGCATCTTGAAAATAAGAAGCCCAAATAATTGGTGGTGATTGGGGAGAAAGAGAGTTAGTACTTTGCTTTACTTTTTGGCTCTTATTAAAGTTTACTCATTAATTGATCCTCAGTTGTGTTTTGGGTCCTGACTGGTTTTTGTTTATTGCTTTTGGTGATGCTGACTCTTTGTAGTAGTTGCTCAAAGGGTTTGTAAAGCTTGCTTTCTTAACTTTTCCTTTGAAGGGAAATAATTCACTGCATGGATTAATACTATACTAGGAGAAGCGGGTGGCGCTGTGGGTAAAAGCCTCAGTGCCTAGGGCTTGCCGATCGAAAGGTCGGCGGTTCGAATCCCCGCGGCGGGGTGCGCTCCCGTTGCTCGGTCCCAGCGCCTGCCAACCTAGCAGTTCGAAAGCACCCCCGGGTGCAAGTAGATAAATAGGGACCGCTTTCTAGCGGGAAGGTAAACGGCGTTTCCGTGTGCAGCTCTGACTCGCCAGAGCAGCTTCGTCACGCTGGCCACGTGACCCGGAAGTGTCTCCGGACAGCGCTGGCCCCTGGCCTCTTGAGTGAGATGGGCGCACAACCCCAGAGTCTGTCAAGACTGGCCCGTACGGGCAGGGGTACCTTTACCTTTACCTTTTAGGAGAAGCCAACCTGAATATTATTGCAACACATGTAAGAGAAGAATGAAAACAATTAATCATTTACTTACAGTAAGCATTTCTGTAACCAACATATTTGATGCACTCACATTTTTCCAAGAAAACACATTTCCTTTAAGAAAGAAGTTGTTTTATTTCTTTAAAAATGCAATTTGTGCAATATGAACAAGAAACCAGCATAGGCAGAACACCTTCCTCAAGCAGCTCAGGGTAGTAACAACAGGGGAGGCAGGAGGCAGTCCCAGCAACAGCCCTGACTCAGACCAGTTTCTGATGTGGGGGAAGCTGCAAGCACTTCCTCAGTTACTGGGAAGTAATGACTGAGAGCATTACAGGATAGAGTTTGAGCAGCTCTCTCCACCACCACCATTTCATTTCCTCTGCTCACTCCAAGAAATCGCAGAAACATCTCCTGATGTTTCAGGAGATCCAACATTTGCTGGATATCAGGGCAACAGAGCCTGTGCCAGAATCATAAAGAGGAATCTGCTACACTACTCTCGTTATGGTTCCAAAGAAGTTGGGGAAATGGAGGATCTCATCCTGGATCTCAGGAGGGTCAATTGATAGCTGAACCAAAAGAAATTCAGAATGTAGACCTTGAAGAGCATTCTAGAAGGCCTCATTTCTGGGCACTGCATTGCTTCCCTGGACCTGATCAATGCCTACCTCCACATACCAGCTTACGCATCTCATTGCAGATTTCTGCATTTTGCATATCAGGGCAGGAATCTCCAGTACAAATGCCCCACCTTGGATTGGTCCTCAGCCCCAGGACGTTCTTGAAGTTGCTGGTAGCTGTGGTGGACCATCTAAGGAACAACATCTTGATCAGCTCAGACTCTCATCAACAGGCTGGGAGACCCTAGACAACACTGCTACCAAAGCATATACATGGAAAGAAGGTGGAACCAAGTGGCAGGTCCTCGTGCAGAAGGCCACCAATCTCCTGTCTAGGGCAGAACGGTATCCAGAATCTCTATCAGTAGAGCATGTTCCAGGCGCCTCCAACGTCTGAAAAGACATGTTCAGCCGCCAACAGGTCTCCCAAGCTAGTGTGGAGCTTTTTTCCACAGGTGTTCCAGCAAATAGTGGGTCGCTGTGGTCTTCCAAGAGTAGACCTGTTCATCATCATCATCATCATCATCATCATCATCATCATCATCATAATTTATTATTTATACCCCGCCCATCTGGCTGAGTTTCCCCAGCCACTCTGGGTGGCTCCCAATCGAGTGTTAAAAACAATACAGCATTAAATATTAAAAATTTCCCTAAACAGGGCTGCCTTCAGATGTCTTTTAAAGATAGGATAGCTGCTTATTTCCTTCACATCTGAAGGGAGGGCGTTCCACAGGGCAGGCCCCACTACCACCACTATTATTTATACCCCACCCATCTGGCTGGGTTTCCTCAGCCACTCTGGGCAGCTTCCAACACAATATTAAAATACAGTAATGCCTCAAACATTAAAAGCTTCTCTAAACAGGGCTGCCTTCAGATGTCATCTAAAAGTCTGGTAGTTGTTGTTCTCTTTGACATCTGGTGGGAGGGTGTTCCACAGAGTGGGTGCCACTACCGAGAAGGCCCTCTGCCTGGTTCCCTGTAACTTGGCTTCTTGCAGTGAGGGAACCGCCAGAAGGCTCTCAGCACTGGACCTCAGTGTCCGGGTAGAACGATGGGGTGGAGTTGCTCCTTCAGATATACTGGGCCGAAGCCGTTTAGGGCTTTAAAGGTCAGCACCAACATTTTGAATTGTGCTCGGAAACGTACTGGGAGCCAATGTAGGTCTTTCAAGACCGGTGTTATGTGGTCTCAGCGGCCACTCCCAGTCACCAGTCTAGCTGCCACATTCTGGATTAGTTGTAGTCACCTTCAAAGTTGCCCGACAAAGAGCGCACTGCAATAGTCCAAGCGGGAGATAACCAGAGCATGCACCACTCTGGCGAGGCAGTCCGTGGGCAGATAGGGTCTCAGCCTGCGTACCAGATGGAGCTGGTAAACAGCTGCCCAGGACACAGAGCAGTTCACAAATTCAGAAGACCAAAAGGTGGAGCTCTTCTCCTGATTCAGGACTCAGGGAGTGCTGGGCATGGATTCCCTGACCTCTGCCTGGCTGGGTACAGGGCTTCTATACACCTTTCCTCCCACTGCTCTAATTGAGACTTCTCAGGGATGTAAGATTTGCACCAGATGAGATTATTGTAGTGACTCTTTTCTTGCTGGGGGCAGGGGCTGTTTCACAAAACTCATGGCCTTATCAGTGGCAGACCCTTTGCCCCTACCCTCCAGGGTGGACCCTGGTGTCACAGCGATTAGTCCACCACCCAGAGTCAGATTGGTTACAACTCCATACCTGTTGTAGAGAGGGAGGGCCTAAGAGAATTAGGATGTTAATCTCTACCATCCTAGCTTCCTGCAGACACTCCACTGGCACACTGTATAAAAGCTGGCATTACCAGATGCTATGAGAGGGGTAGCAGAGTCTATTCCACCAGAAGCACTGTTTGGGACCCAATCCCCTCTGGGTGACATATGCAGGGTAAGCACCTGGTCCTCACCTTCTGGCTTTGAGAGGCATTGCAAGCTAGACACGCCTCAGCCAAGGTCTCCTTTGGAAGCTGAGTGCTTCGACAGGTAGTGAACACCACTTAGGTAAGAGCCCACAGAGACACATCCTACACAGGATTCCCTTCCTCCACTACAGGAGACGCAAACGTTGGAACTTACTGTGATAAGTTCCTTCTCTATAGGGAGGAAGGGCACCAGGCCCTCCCAAGTGACCGCAGTGCTGGGGAGGCCATCAGACTCAGACAGGTGAGCTTTCCCTGGGAGCATAAAGCACTCACACCAACAATGGTCAGGGATCTCCTCTCTCCCCTCCCCCATGTTTCCCTTTCCTCTTCTCTTACTCTTCAGCCCATACCAGGGTTTTCTTCTCTTCTTCACCTGTGCTACATTACATGGGTCATTACAGCTTTTTGGGACTGAGGCCCAGGGACTGGCTGACCTAGAATGTTATGTTCCCACTGTGGGACCACTGATGTGCTGGGCCCGTGGGTAACCCGAGCAACACGGTCCAGGTCCAGTTCCAAATCCAAGGGTTCCACAAGGAGTCAGTCTGACAGGGCCAAGGCAGGACACGAGGCAGGAAACCAGGCAAGGTCAGGCACAGGATCACAGGCAGGTTCTGGCAAACAGCAATGTTGCTCCCACAACCTGGGGCGGGGTCCGACAGCCTTTTATCTCTGTC